TGCGCAAACATGAAGTTTATGGGAGAAATATGGGTTTGTCTAGAAATGCGAAATAGCGGTATGCCAAAAAGTGTCGTTTCATGTTGAACATGTTTACAATCCATTGTTTTTTTGGGGTACCCTGTTCTCAGACAAACCCACATGGATATGAGTTCACACCCATGAAATTCCATGGTGAACTTCAAAATAGTCGGTAAGTGCATTTTCATATTTTTCATCCCCCGAAATCAATGGTAAGTGTACTATAGTATATGTAATTGTACTACATGTTCTTTCAGTTTTTGTTGATCCATCCCGATTTTTCAGAACGTCTGTGCGATCTCGCAGCCAGTGGCGAGCGTCGGTCTTGGTGCTGGTGGAAGTTTTGACCAAACTGCAGGGCATGGGCCCGGAGATTTGGTCATGAAGAGCCGTTACCTGATAAACCCACAGTTTGCGAAGTGGAAAATGACAATTTTATAGCTGGGTAAATCAACGAACTAAATGTGGCATTATAATGGTGATTTCTATGGTGATATATGGTAAATCACGGATTTCTATGGCCATTTTCCACGCATTTGCTGTAGTTGACCAGAGGGTAATGTCGCCTGCATACAAGATCTGGAAAAGCCATGGCTCGCCATTTGATCCAGTCATTGATTTGTTTTTGTCCAACTAAGACCTTCACTGCCCCCAGTGGATAATGGTGGTTTAATAATGGTTAATATTGGTTAATGAGATATAACTTGTTGGTGGTTTGGAACATGAATTTTATGACTTCCATTTCATAATTTCATATATGGGATGTCATCCTTCCCATTGACGAACTCATATTTTTCAAGATTGGAAAGAAACCACCAACTAGATGAAAACATCGAGTGTGAGCCAGGAGTCAGGGAGAGGTATTAGCCGATGTTTTTTCAGGCAATGCTGTGATTCATGGCTGACTGAAGGCTTATATGTTGCATGGGATTGTGTCAAAAGTGGATGTACACCCCTTCATGGCAGTTTGAAATTGGGAAAATGATGAACAACTTGAATGTGGGGTACCCAAATGTTTGAACCAGCCCAAATGGATGCAAGTGTACAGAAAATTTGTTTAATGTTATAAGCTATAGCCCAAAAGTTGATCCTTATTGATCTGATTGTGTTCATATGTATGCACATCTTCATAGTAAGCAAACAACTACTTATGTTCCCTCTCATGAAACTTCCACGCAGTCAACCCTCCAGCCACTCGGTGTGACAACATGGTAAAGCTTAGTAGCGGCCGCATGGCCATTCTGCCGCGGATGGAGAGTGTTCTGATGTCATGGAGGGCCATCCAGCTGTAGGGTGAGACTTTGAGATTCTTGATCTTAGTTTTTGATTGTTTGTAAATATAGGGCATCCCTAAATTTGATGGTCAATCCTCATATTCTCTATGAAAACATTGCCAGGAATGGGGGAATAGCTCATTTCCAGACACAGCTACAATATGCTACAAGATGTTTTCGTATTTCCAAGCAGATTGTCTGAAACCAAGCAGCGTTTCCAGGTTGGAGGGAAGTTGATCCCTCACAACTAGCCGAGCCGCGCCGCAGACGGTCTGGTGAATGTGCAAAAAATCCCAGGAAAGCTTAAGGATGGGTAGTTTAGTACTGTAATAATTTGCTATACATGGAATCTGGATATACACTAAGCAATCTTTTTGAAGGACTCTAAGTTTGGCAATGATACCTGGAGTGAAGATCCTGAATCACTAATGGTCTACAGACGATCTCCGTCTCTTGGCAGCGTTGACAGGGCACGAATACAGCTCGTTTGAATGCGAAAGGCCACACCAGAGGGCCATTGTCCAGCACTGCCAAAGGCAAGCCGCGAAAAAGCTAAGTAAAGCGTTCCAGAACCAATGTTTGCTGGCTGGTGGTTTCATGGGGATGTTACTGACGAGAGTGAGACGTAACCACAAGATATCGAGGATAGTTGAAGGGTGATCCCAAACCATCCAGCAGATAGTTGAAGGGTGATCCCAAACCATCCAGCAGTATTCACATCAACGGGGCAGCTTTGGGGCCTAGCTGATGGTTTCAAAGAACTTGTTTTGGTGTTTAGACCATAGAGATCCCTCATGAATCAGCTGGGGATTCTTCTGATGATCTGCAAGAGGAAAATATTGCAATAATCTCCAATTATCTTTGGAGATGTCAGGGTATGTTTGGAGATTTTGAACATGATACAACTGATACAACCAGAAAAAAATGGGAACATACAATCTGGAAGCGTGGGAACTTGAGCACATTCTCTCCACATTCTTGCGATGGTCATCCGGGTAAGGTCTGTGGCTTCATGTAACCTAGTGACTCTAGTGGCTCTAGTGATAGAGGGTATATGTGCATGAATACCATATTTGAATACATTTGATGTGTATTACACAGCGGACTGACCCATGAAATCCTTTCAATTGCTACTTAAGTCAGTAACGCGATGATGGTCCCATGTATTTTGATCTTGTTGGTTGAAATCACAGAGAAGGAGCTCAACCATAGAAAAGGGTAGATTGAATATGCATAATAGTTATCCTCTGTTTATTTAACATAGCCATGGGAAATGGCCCATTTACAGATGGTTCCCCTATTAAAAATTGTGATTTTCCATGGCTATGTTAAATAACCAGATGGTATCATTTTTTCCATTTATATGGTTATAATTACCATAGAACATGAATTCCTTTCCTCCATCAATAAATAATTTGCTTGAGCCCCCAGTGACTTTTTATGGGATTGACTCATCTTTAGATTGTCCGAAAACAGGGCAGTTCCATCTCATGGTTGGGAGCATCGATTTCATATGACCATCATTGTTGTTCTATTCTGGCATGTCTAGGACAAACATCGAATCCAACGTATCTTAGCTTTAAATGAATTCATATGTTATATATATATACACGTATATGATGCTTGTATTTGTGAAATTTATGTTGATATGTGCGACATATCCCATGGGCCTGTGGTATATTCCACCATATCTCCATAAGCTAAGCCGGTGACATCCGAAGTTTTGTATGTTTGTTATAGGTAGTTGTTGGTTCATATATGTTCATATCCACTGTATATGTTTAATGGATTGATTCCTTCTGTGCAAACCATATGGCTTTACTGCCAAATAATTATAGGGTGCTACCTGCATGATTTTCTCTTCAACTAATTCTGATATATTTTTATATATTATATAAGATGATTAATTAAATCTTAGCAGATTTGAATTGATGAAGAGTCACTTACCATCTATTGCGAAGAATTCGCTTAAGTTTTCTCGCCCCAGGACACCTCGCCCACCTCGCCGCCCTCGCGGAAAAACGCCGCGCCGCTTGAAGCACCGGCATCACGGCGTAGGTGCGGGGTGGGAAGGGGGGAAGCTTCAGATTTGAACCGTGAACCGAATGAGGTGGCTGAAATATTAGTTGATATATATATATATATAACTCATATATATATACATAATTATAATATGATATTAAAGTTCCAACCCTCCCCAACCTAATTTATTTGAAAGAATTTGAAAGAAAGGGCTAGTGGTTTGGTGAGATTTCGTAGCTTTTCAGGATGTTTCATGGTACAATCCAAACATCCAAACAGTAGCAACTTGTACTCAATATATGGGAAATCTGATGGGCCCTGAGGAGAAATCGCTCTGGAAGCCCCACTCCTCCGCCGAAAGCGGCGTGCCGCGGCTGAGCTCGGCGGGGATGAACCGTGACATTTAGGTGACCATCGCATACCATCACTGGTTGGTGGTTTGGAATATGTTTTTATTTTTCCATTTAATTATTGGGAATAATAATCCCAAGTGACTAATATTTTTCAGACGGGTAGGTATACCACCAACCAGATCACACTGTTGGGGATTTGATACCGGGATTAATCCATCGAGTAAGTATATAGAAGGATTTAAGATGGTTTAGCCCAGCAACAAACATGGTGGATTTAGTCTTGAACATGCTAATTAAACCGGTACATGATACAAATACGGGGGTTTAACTTACGACCTCCGGTCAGTTTTACAATAGGAAAGGGAAAAAACCGCTGGTGTTTCTTTACTAATTTAGAGATTGGGACGCTATGGTGGCCCCATTTTTTTCAATGTTTTTTTTTTTGCGTTTTTGTGTTATTTCTATATGTCCAACGTTTCTTTCATATAACAATAATTGTCCCTGAAGAATCCTTGAAAAACATCAGATAGTGGTGAAAATCAGTCGCATCCTGGTGCATCCCTGTTGCAAACATTTTGTTTATGTAGAAAATGTTGACAATACCTTGAAGTAAAACATCTCTCTCTTCCAAAAGCATGTCTAGATGCAAAGCCCTTGACACTGAGCCATGCCATATTTGGGATACTGTGGTAAGCCCAAGAAGAATAGGATATGGCTCTGGCCCAGAACTGTTTTACCCTGGTCAAAACCAAAAGTGATGATGCATGGAATGTAAGGATGTTCATTTGTCCCAGATGTACTATAATTTATAATAGTCCCCTTGAAGGTAACGTCTTTTTTTGACAACATCGATATAACAAGATTGGCTCTTGTTTACTGGGTCTACCCGCTTGAAAACATGCCATTCGACAGGTTTTTCCCAAGAAAAGGTGGTTCATTCGTTTGATTGCGCACCGGCCCTATGTCGCCAAAACCGTCCCGAAATGATGGTTTTTTAATGTTGTTTACGGCAACGGGTTCACACGATTTGGCGGTTTCAAACATTTCTTATTGCCAAGCATATGTGCGATGATGATCCCATTGACTAGTTTTTTTTCTTTTTCGGAGGCTTGGAACCACCAAAGACTTCTATGGGTGTGTTTGAAATTGGGTTAAATCTTCCAAATGGCTATTTCATAGGACACATATGGGGAAAAAAACATATAAGAAATCATCACATCAAATCTTGGAGTATCTTATTTTCAAACAAGCCCATCTTCCTTGGTTTATGAGCCATTTCCACAGCAGCAACAAACTCAGGCCGCAGCTGACTTCGGAAGATGTGGGAACCATGGGCCGCTTGGAAAGACTTCGGAGACAACAGGGATATGAATAGCAAAAGAAACAAATTGTGTTGTATGATGGTTCATGGTGATATAGTAGCGATGTATTAATATATATATATATGTTATAATTATATATAATATAGTATAATTATAATATTAGATATATTATATATATAATAACATATATATATATATATTAATTATTATTATTATATTATAACTATATATATATATATGTGGGTAATTATATGTAATTATGTTTATAATTATATATACCAGGAGCTTCAAAGACCCAAAAAAAATGTAGGTCCAATGAAAAAAACTCTTTTTTCGAGAAAAAACTGGGTTTGTGTAAAGAACCAATATTTTGTTTTTTGTTGGATTTGCGCAAATTTGTCCAAATCGGGTGGACCTGTATCAAATTTCTCCTTATTACATGTAGCAATTTCATACTGACAACTTGTGAAATCTGTCAGACAGAACGCGTGATGGAAACCGAAGCAAGCGTTATCAGACACGATGCGCGCATTCTCCACCGGCTGCAGTTGCCTCCTATGCTGCGAACTTTCCCTTCAGCGGAACTGGAGGTAGTCAAAAAGTCACAATGGATATGCATGGCATTTCAAAAGTCAGCTTTCCAGATATGAACCCAGTAAATTGACAATAGCTCCGGTAATCTGCGTTGTTTTCTTTTTGTCTAGATCCGGCAACTACCGGTTCGATCTTGCAAAACCACAAGCGGAGCCTTAAAACTCGACATCGCGCCGTCAATTCGCAGAAGCAAACAACCCATATTTTGAGTACGGGTTAGTATGGGTTAAATATGGGTTTAATTGGTTCCAAAAAACCGTTTAATTACTTACTATTTTATCAGAATATGGGTTTAGTAATGTTGTCTGACCAATAGTGATATCTTGTCAATAGTAGAAACATGTTTCCGCAACTCCAATTTTTCTCCAATACTAAAAGTCAATTAGCTCTATTTACTTTTAGTATTGCCAAAAGAGTCATGTTCAGACCTTGCCCAGAGGGCATGGCAAATAGTGGACCCAACATGGCAATAGTGGAAACTTTTTTCCCAATTCCAATTTTATCTCCAATACTAAAAGTCAATTAGCTCTATTTACTTTTAGTATTGCCAAAAGAGTCAAGTAAAGCAAATCCTTTTCAAAGCAGCCTTCACTTTTGATTAGCAAAAGCTTAGATTCCAGAAATCTGATCCAATTACCAAACAGCTGATTTCCTTATAAAACCCTTATTAAAAAAGGCAAAAAAACAGGTCCACAAAGGGTACCCCCTTTGCAAGCCCCAGAATAGCAATAACAAACCTGCACCAGGCATGGCAATAGTGGAAACTTTTTTCCGCAACTCCAATTTTGTTGTCCTCCTTCTCCTCCTTCTTCTCCTTCTTCTCCTCCTCCTCGTCATCCTCCTTCGCCTCCACCAAATCCATTCAGAATCTTTCAGAAACCCAACAAAACCATGGAGAATCTATCAGATACATATCATGATTCCAGCTATAGATTCCCAAAAATTATTATAGGAAGGTTGACCCCCCCCTCCTAAAATAAAAATAAAAATAAAAAAATAGGGGGGGTAATTACTATTAGGCAGCCAACATTACGGGTTAAATATGGGTTTAGTACGGCTTAGCACGGCTTAAATATTGGTTTTTGGCATTTTTGGGGTACAGACCCTAAAATTGTCATCCGAAATTATTAAAAACTGAAAATGCCGATTGATTTTTCTTCGGCTGTTTGTTGGACTTTGGCAATGCAGAATCATTTTTTCCCAATGAAAAAAATACAGCCATGTTTCAATTTATGCTTCTAGGGTTGTTCTTGGGAAAAAATCATACAACGACTCCAGATTGACTGTGATCACACTTAATGTTGTCCGACATGTTCCAAGAGCATCGGGCCCTTTCTTGCGAGAACTGCCAGCCACAGCCAGCGGGGTGGAAGTATAATCAACATGAAGGGTACTGAGAGGGATATATCCAAGGCTGGTATCGATAAAGGAGTTTGAATCGTCTAGGGGAAGGAATCATGAGATGTCATGACACCAAGTGTGAGAAAAAGTATGTTTTTTTTTTCCTAGTAAAGAAAAAAACAATATGTTCTAAGAAAAACCGTTTTTTTTTCATAACTGAAGAAAAAACTAGGTTTTTGGGAAAAAAAAAACTACAAATTTGTGGGTTCTTGAAGCGCTAGGTATATATATATAATTATATATATATATCATTTAATATAACGATATTCATGGGATATAATGGGATCGATTTACAGTATCTAACGACATGGTTTGATATGATTTGGGTTGTTCTGATATCCTGAAATGAGGGATACGCCGCCGTTAAACATGGAAGGCATCATGAAAAACCACCGGATTTTGGGTTATCAATGAAATATCTTGGACCTGGGCAACGTATGCTCTGCATTGTCTTCCCACATTTTGGAAGGAGCTGCCGCAACCTTGGCATCCGCATTTTGAAGATTGCCCCCCTGACGCGAAGTTCAATGAGACAAAGCACTCCTTGAAGTGCAGGAAGACATGTTGGAGGTCATAAGACTCTTTCAGCAAGACATTACCGATGATAACAGGAACCACGATGGAGAGCCCAACAGAGGCACCAGATACCTCGTGACGGACCTCGTGGCCGATTCCGACGGAGATTCCGTGCGTGCTCTTGGAAAGATACGGTATCTATTGCGTAAGCCAACATTGCCACTCTTATCCTCATTAGCCAGAGTTTGTGTGTTTCATTGGGTTTCATTGGGCGCCTAATCGCGCAGGTTCCGGGTAGGTTTGGGGTACGTAGTTTCTGGGCATAAAATGACAACCTCACCATGATCTCACCATACACTTATAGCAATGGCAAACAACCCCAAAAATTGTTTCTGATTTGGAGAATTTGATGGTAATGTAATGCAGCAAAAATATGCGTTGATACTGTTTGTTTGCAAGGATTTGTTTCACGGCTAAAAACCTTGGTCATGGATTGTGGAGTTGTCCAAACATCATGGATTTAACCCAGAGCTACTTTTTGTTTGGGAAACACCCTGCGTTCAACCATTGGAGTTTGGTGGACTTTGGTAGTTTGACGGTTTTTCCTATAATTTTCAGACTAGCATCTGGTTATTTAACATAGCCATGGCATAGATGGCCCATAGAAATAAATGGTTTACCGTTCTTAAAAATGGTGGATCTTTCCATGGCAAACTGTTAGTCATAACCAGATGGTAAACCATAGAAATGGTGTGTCTCATTGCGATTAGTTGGCCATTCCGAAGATGCCCTGGGGCCGCCCTTCGTCTAAGACGTGGAGCGGATCCGACAACAACTCAAACCGGGCCTGGGGACGGTCCTGCAGGCGACCCGTTGTGAACAACAGGTGGAAGACATGGGAACACAAGGTAATCACAAGAAATTGTACTTGTCTCTCTAATATATAATATTGATAAATGGATATAAATGGAGAATAGAATTATATGATTATATATATATATGCATAATTATATATATATATAATATATATATATACATCTAATATATATATATATATAATATATATATATGTACATATTTATAGATTATAGCGCGGTATCTATGTAGATATCCATCCAAATCTATCCGTACCTATCCATATCTATCCATGTACCTAATTTCACTATTTGTGTATCTGACTACCTGTTTATTTGGCTCCTACACATGTTTTTTTGTGCTTCGAGTGGTATGAACAAAAACACTAGTACGCGGATCATGGTGATGTCCGGAAATCAAACCTTGCCATGGGAAATGCCTCACTGACAGTTTTTTTTTCCTAAAAAAAATGGATATTCCACATAGCAGCAGCAGTGATTCAGAACGCTTCAGATATGTCCAGATCCAACAAAGGTTGGATTGACATCTGAAAAACGCCTAGCTGGTTGGTGGTTTGGAAAGTCCAGTGGTTGTTAATAGCGGTTAATAGTGGGTTAATAGTGGTTAATGACATATATCTGGTTGGTGGTTTGGAACCATGGAATTTTATGACTTGCCATTCAGTTGGGAATTTCATCATCCCAACTGGACTTTCACTCCATCATTCTTCAGAGGGGTAGGTCAGCCACCAACCAGCTACTGAGCAGCTGGGCGATCGTATCTCCTCCATGTGGTGAAGAAGAATTTCCCCATGATTTGATCTAGCACCTTGGTAGGGTATCCGATATGGTGGTTAAACCACCATTTTATATACTGTAGACCCATGGGTGTTTTTAGCGATGAACACACATATCAAAAGCTGTTGTAACATATCAAAACGGGAATGAAGATCCATCAACTGTTCAACAAATTTGATGTTCATAAGGGTATATTGGTCGTTGAACTACCCATCAACATGTGTGAATAAATGTATGCATTATTCACATTTTGTATATTTGGATGTTAATCAAGTTTTTGATGGTTTAATATTCCTTTAATCTGATCCCTGTGGTTTGGGGTCCCTACCACACCAGGAGGCCTTCAAGCCGCGCGGCCGCACCTCGCGGCGCTCCACGGGCGCCCTTCCAGCGTGGGGAGCTTGGGGAGCTTTGGCGATGCTCTGCATTTGGCCATAGAAAATGTTTAATGGGTATTTTTGTTTTTTTATCATGTTTTTATCATTGACCATTATCCTACTATCACTGATGAATAACATTATCACACCATTATCAAACCACTATCTAATAAATTGATCGACAGTATTAATAGGATTAATATTAAGAGTTACTATTACTAGGGTTGATGTATATATATATATTATATATATATTTAATAGTTACAGGATAAATGATAGTAGACATTGACAATTTTTCCATTATTAGATAAATGATAGTAGGATAAACATCTTAATCATTAACATTAGACCCTGGCAAATTCACCCTGATAGATGAATTTACCCTCTGGTAAATTCACATAGACCCTGAACATCGTCAATTTCTAGTGAAAATGATGAATGGATATGGATTACATAATAATATTAATAGTTTTATAATGGTTAATGAATATGAATGGATAGTGATAGATGACTTTTGATTCATATGCGAATGAAATATGGTTAAGCCATAGTTATTAGATTATAAAACCATATGGAACATGATAGATGAATTCATATGGGAGATTCCAGAAATGGTGGATTATGAGCCATGGGAGTTTCCTAAAATGCTGGAAAAAAATAACCGTATATATATATATATATTATATTTAAATTTCAATATGTTTCAATGGTCATTCATGACTTGGATGGAAAAACCCAAATTTCGTTTTTATAGGGGAATCATCCCCAAGATAGCCTTAATTCAGGTTTGTGAAATATTATATTTTACCCAGATTGCACATATGGTTGGTTATAGTTACAACTATCCGGTGGTTAAGAGAAAGCGGTTCGGAGCTATGGTTGGTTGTATCCATATTCCCCATAAATTATGATGCCGGAACAGAACAGTAGACTATATAATGGCCATTTCAGGAACCCCAATTGGAGGTACCTACCAACATATCCATACATACGGCCTAGGTAAGGGCTATTGAAGGGACATGTGTCACAAAATATGGCCTTATTTGGTATGGTACAGTATCTCTGTTTCAGGTACAAGCCCATCTCATCATATATGCATATTACTTGAATAGGATTTAAATACAATGGTGATTTAATGGGATTGTACAGGAAAATCCATGAAAATCCCATCCCCCTAGTGTTTAAATCCCAATTTTATGATCCCAAATATGTGGTTTCATCATGTTTGCCCCTGCTTTTTTTTTACCATTGTTTCTGGGGGGTGTTTACTATTGACGGGGGAAGGGATTATATAATTGTGTGAAACCAGGCATAATAATGGAGATACCAAACAAACGATCCACAATGTAGATGTGAATGGGTGATATAACCGATCTGTTTTGATATACGAAATGGCAATTAGGGGTGCTTGTGCTCTAAAAACACCTTTGATAGTGCTATCATCGGGATATTTTCATGGGATATAGTCTATAGTGGGAAAAAAACAACAATGTGTTTCTTAGGTGTGCCGGAAATTGGGTATTCAGTCAACATGTACATGCTTATAGGGACTATGACTATGATGATTCTACAACTTGTAGCTTTGGGTGTACCCTATTTCCGTACGAAACCATATTCCCAGACACAACTCAGTAAAGAAACATGTTATCATTATAATTTAGCTATACCCTCTGGTTATTTAACATAGCCATGGAAAATCACCATTTTAATAGGTAAACCATCTATAAATGGGCCAAAATAACCAGATGGTAATTAAGGATCCTGTTCCTCACAGAGGTGAAGTGTATAAATCAGCAGAGGTCAACTGGTTTTGAGTTGCAACCATGATATCTCCATAAAATGGTGGATTGTGTATCTCCACGACAAAATCCTATTCAATCACCTCTTAAATGTACAGTTGTGGCCCTATGAATGGGAGCATACAATATTTGAATTTTGGATGATATATGTACCATATATCATTAGAGACGAAAATTCTCCAGGCTCCCTGTGACCGTTCGATCACGCCCTTGTGATGGTTATGGAGTTGATTGCTCCAAGATGTGCACAGTTCCAGAAGCGCGAACTATGGAAGGAGACGCCGCGCTTGGTGATGAAACTTGGACACCAGAAAGATTCTTCACCGGGATCCACCACGACTATGCCTTTGCTCAGAGGACTGCCAATGACTGGAGAAGATGGTGTGGCATCGATGAGATCTCTTCATCTGGCAGCTACCTACTATGGTACCTTGCCTGGGCAAAGCATGAAAATGGTGCTACTGTGTGTGAACCATATATCATTATAATCATTAGAAGTCACTTATAGCTGTGAATGGCAATGTCCAAGCATTATTCAATCCATTCATCAAAATATTGATAGCTAAGGCTTGATCTTATAGCTGCTATAGCTGATAAGTCACATTTCTAGCTGCTATAGCTAAGGCTTGACTTATAGACTTATAGCTGACAAGGGCTGCTATAGCTACATAATTACACATCGCTTCACTCCCCGTTTCTTAATCCCCATCCGCATGGTCCAAGGCCAAACGACTCTGGCGACCTGTTGGCCAATGCGGCGGAGTTACTCCTGAGGAGCTGGTAATCGGTGACGCCGCATGCCGCGTGACGCGATTTTTGGAAAGAGCACCTAAATGTGGCAAAAGGTGGAACATGTGGAGTTATGTCATATGAGTTTGTCAATATATGAAGATTTAAGCAGGAAATGCAGAAATGATATTTCAGCAACTAGTGTGAACCAATCACCTACATGCAGTGATTTGTGGTTTAAGATGAGGATTTCACCACCATAACTGGTGATTTTTGTGATCTTCGCTGTCACCATGACCACATGAGGTCGCCGGCAAAGAAGCGGTTCTGGTGGAATATTGAGAACAGAGCCTGAAACGAATCATGTTGGTAGTGGAGAAAGCACACCTGTCAGTATCTCCAATTTTGGGTTGATTGAAGAGCCCCCAAACCCAGACACGCCCCAATCGAACTGCAGGAAAAAACAAGAAGCCAAAGAAGCAGAGCAATCCAGCACCCCTCCAGCCACCGTCTTTGGGCTGCAGTGATGCAATCGCCGCATCGACCAGCTGTGAATCATCAGAATCATGTTTTTTTTGTTGTGCTTTGTATGTGAGCAGTGACCTGTTGAACGTTACCTTCCAGTAACACAACCTTTAGTGACATTGACAACAGATATGTCACATATATCCAAACAATGGATCAAGTGTTCGCTTTTTTATCATGTTCCAGGCCGGGGATGACCATGTGATCAATATGTTTGGGGATGGTCTTTAATAGTATACCCTCTGGTAAACATACAAACAACTATGGAAAATCACCATGTTTAATAGGTATACCATCTATAAATGGGCCATGTCCCATGGCTATGTTAAATAGCCAGAGGGTACAATGTTCGTAAAGGAGTAGGTCACCATCCCAATTCTACAATGGTTGACTCCCCGTGGAGCTGAAACATCCGAAGTGTCATGAAGTGTCCCAAGTGAACCTGTGGAAAATGTGGAACATTTGATGACCTCCCATCATGAAGGGTGAATTGGAGGGGAATCTATCTACCCAAGTGTTTAAATTTGTTAAAATCCCAAGGCAATATGTTCATGATGTTGCAACAAATCATGAAACAAAATAGTACAATAAGTCTTCAAGTAGGAGTCTGAGTATCTATATCATCCGATTCGCTCGTTTGTGACATCATGTTTGCTCGTCGTCTCACCATTGCTTCCCCGTTCTGTTTTTGTTGTTTTTTTTAAACCCCGTATTTTAATCCGCTAAACCGCCATCTATACCATAGCTGTGTAGCAAATTACCAGATGGTAATTTTCATTACGAACCATCATTAACATTCATTAACCAGTATTGACCATTATTAACCAGGGTTTTCCCTACCATAGTTAACCAGGATTATCCCATAGTCATCAGGAAATTCCGTTGCTCTCAGGATTCCCTGCTCTATGACGTTTCTGTGAAGCTGCGCGAGCATGCTGCCCAGGTGGGCCATTCTAATGCCGCAACAGGGGATATTTGTTTGAGTATGTTGCCATAGATGGGATAAATAATGATCTACAATGAGATAATATATTTACATATATACGTATATTTATATATATATATATGCATGAATAATATATAGATATATATTTACATATACGTATATACCAATATTTTTGCCTTAAATGGGTACAGTATCCAACATTGGCCATTATCTGTATATTATGTATATATATATATATATATGTATTATACACACGTATCAACATATATCCAGGATTGTATATTATTAACATATAAAGTTCTTTAAGATGGGGGATCCCTGGGTGCATTTGTTTGAAGCAACCATTTGGGGTCACCAGCATTTTTGCCTATGTGGGATGATAAAACACTTATGTGTTGTTCGTTTGTGGGATTCATGGTGATAGCTCCAAGTAGGTGGATGAAAGCCAAAGACACAAAGCGTTCGAGGAACAGGCATGATACACAAATAAAAAACTGATCGCTTTGCCTTTGACTTCCATTCCCATATTTGCATTTTGTTTTTTCCGTAGCTTCCCTGTCTTGGTTGCTACAAAACATGTTTTTTCCTTAGTAGCTCAGTGTTTTTTTTGTGATCCAAAAATATGAAGTATAGCCTCAAATGACCATTAATAGCCACTTCACTGCTCAAAAAAGAAACACATTCAACATGTTAAGACCGCATGGCACGCGCTGAACAATGCGCTGGACTTCTATTCGCCAATCCGGAATGTGGATTGATTGGGGGGGATGCTTGTAATGTGGAACAATCAATACTATGATAGTACTATGATAATAATATATATAATATTATATAATACCAATGACAATGATCATGAGAGAATATTGTTACATGTTGTAACATGTTGTACTAAAAAAAACAATGGCAACCTTAGCAACATGTATAAATGTATATATATATATATAAATATAGTTATATATATACACTATATTATCACCATATTAATCGATAAGACTATTCCTGTTCATATAATATAATAACATTCCATCCCACATTTAACCCAACGATTTTGCCATTTTTCTA